TTTTTTAATAATTCATGGATGGAGTAAGTCAGTCAAACAGTCAGTGACAAACCCCTTTCTTTCTCTTCCTTCTCCTCTCAGGCTGTGGAGAGAGAGCAGGTAGACAGCATTCAGCCAAAGCTGCAGCACGTCAACGCAGTGGGTCAGGGTCTCATCCAGAGCGCCGCCAAACACACCGACACCCAGGCGCTGGAGCACGACCTGGAGACCACCAACCTCCAATGGAACTCACTCAACAAGCGGGTACGGCTCTAGAAAAGATCCAGTGATGGTCTAAACCATCAGGATCAGGCAGGGAAAACAGATAATAGGCCAAAATCAGCAGCGTAATCACTGTAAGCACTCAGCCTTGGAGATGGTTTAAAGGTAAAACCAAATACTTAAAGCTCACTGGTGCATCTGTACTGGTCTCGACTCCTGTGTGCTTTTCATTATCTCAGCAAAGATGTTTAATTTTCACTCTCTTCTGCATCACATCAAAGACTAAGAAAATTAAGAGTTATAACGTTGTCCTTTTTTAAATCACATTTTGAGTTCAGCCTTTTACTGTAGCTGCAGTGGCAGCTTGTTGTTATACTTCTCTATATATATATTTACCCATATATGTAAAAGGTGGATGTAGGCAGTCACAGATTTTCTTTTGATTTCTTAAGTTTAGCATTTTCATCAGCGCTGTTTGGGGATTTTTTGGAGCCAGGTGTTATCATAGTTTGCCGAGAGGGTGAAGTGAATGAAGCTTTGTTAGAAAGCTGCCTCCGCATTCTGTGCAAACTGGTGACAAAGATGTTAAAAGAATTTCTCACTTCATGCACTGTGTGTTTCTATAAATAACCACACAGCAGTGAAAACTGTTTTTAGAGTGAATTTGATTCAAAATGCTCCAAAAGGCACCAAGAAACAAACGTGCAGTCCAGTTCATGGCTCCAGATATCTGAGTTGAAAGGTACCAGCTAGCAGTTTACTCAGAATCCACCTGACAAGTGGACGAGTCTGTATTAAGCAAACTCGTCATAAGCCTCACTATTCTTTAAATCTGTTAGTTAAGTGCCAAGCTGTTAACATGACTATTTCTTCTCTTTAATTCTGCATAAGTACATGAAAGTCTTTAGGGATTGACTTCCTTTGGAGCTTATTGGCTCTTTCTTTATCCCAAGATATAACCTCTTGACTCTATGAAACCTACGAATCACTTTTGTTTCCCTATTCACAATCATCTCTGCTGTCCTCAGGTGGCAGAGCGGATCGCCCAGCTGCAGGAGGCCCTGCTGCATTGTGGGAAATTCCAGGATGCTCTGGAGCCGTTGCTCAGCTGGCTGAGCGACACAGAGGAGCTGGTAGCGAATCAGAAGCCTCCATCGGCCGAGTACCGCGTGGTCAAGGCCCAGATCCAAGAGCAAAAGGTACGAGAGGGATGAGAGAGGAGGGCAAACGTGA